TTTTTGACATTGGGTTTTGGGTATTGGATTTGGAAATTTGGGACTGGGACTTAAAATTATGTATTTTTTTGCAAAAAACATCCGCAAATTTGCGCAGCATCATGAAAATATCCAATTTTATTGGTGGGTTGGGTGCGTGTTACCTTATTTAGAAATTGATTTGGCGATTTGCGGATGTTTTTTGCGGATTATTTGGGACTTGGCCTTTTTGAGTTTGGGCCAGCAAGTATATTTCTAATACAGTTTCTTATTCGAATCATTGTTATTATTATTATTATTATTATTATTATTATTATTATTATTATTATTATTATTATTATTATTATTATTTATTATTATAATTATTAACGAAGAAAAATTTTTTCGAGTGAATTTGAAGCCTATATATACATATAATTTTGCAGAAACATGAGGTTACTAAATCCAGTAATTAACTTTGTCGTATGTTTTTAGTATGCCAGTTTAATAATCTATATATAGAACAAATGAACGATCTTATTTTTGGGAGGTTCGTTAAAATAATTTAATGGATTTTCTGGAGCATGAATTCATTATTTTTTGTATTTATAAGAGCTGTTATTCGAATGAATAAATGCTAACGATTCATTTTCAATGAATTAAAAGTTCTATAAATAATTTCTCATGGATAATTCCTTTTAAAGCAAAATTAAATTTCCATAAATTATACAGGCAATGAAAAATATCTGATGACTTCATATTATTTAGATTTTCATTTCATAGAAAATCTATTTTTATTAAAAATTGGTTTGTGATAAAAATACTATCATTTTTTTTAAAAACGTGATGATAATATTCGGCAAAGTGCGGCCATATAACAATATTAATATTAAAGTAATTGAAAATAAGAATTTTTTTTTATCACTTGTCAAAAGAATGTATTGGATGAGGAAACATCATTACATATATTAATATTAATACAATCAATCAAACCTCATTTCGACGAATCTATAAAATAAGGAATTGCATATAAACTCTATTAAACTCTATTAAGGCTGTTCGCGTAACCTATTTAGTCATTACGTTAAATTAAGTCTAGTCAAGGGTTTCTATTCGTAATACAATCAATATTAATTCGAATTTATTCGTTTTAATAAAATAGGTCTACTTCTTTAACAAGATAATATAAATTATAATAATTATATTTATTATCTATATTACTACTACTATGGTTGCTAGTACTATGACTTAAGAAAAGAAAAGAAAAATATCAGCTGCTACTATTTATTATTATTATCATTACGCATTATATACAAGGACTAAGGAAAATAGATTGAAGAAGAAAAAATTTTAATTGATTTTATTCAAATCATCCGTTTTATTCGAATTAAAAAAACTTATAAAATTTCAACGTAATTCGAATACTCAAATTCATAACGAATAATAATTCGAATGAACCTTATTCGAATAGAAACCCTAGTTTAGTCAAGATAAATTAGAATGTTAACTAACCCCTTTACGCGGCCAACTCTGATGGTAGTATTGAAAGAATGGTTCTTTCAACATGACTTACCATAAATCAAATCATATACCAGACTAAGTGTAACATTTAGTATTTTATTAATAGCAATCGACCAGTCCCAAATTAGTTGGTTTCGACGGACCCAAACTTTCCGACAGGCTCAAAAATGTAGTTCTATAATAAGAATTTTTTGGATTGTTTATTAACTTTAACATAAATATCAATGTAATGTAAAGTTAGGTGCTAGATCATTGGTAGATCTTTCTAACATTAGAAATAAAAACTTGCGATAAAATCATTAATTGAATAAAATCAGTTGAGAATAAATAAAATTCATGATGAAACTTATGATAAATCATCCGAGAACATGAAATTCATGATAAATAAACAAACTCATGATAAAAATAATCCATTATACAAAAATTACGAACGATCATTAATACTCGTAAATAAATTCAAATGATATTAATACATACAATGTTATCATATTTTTCCTTGTTTAGATTTTAGAATTATATAAATTAATTTTTTTCTTTAATGTCTTATCAAAGATGAGGGGTATGAATTTAGATCTGTATCGAGCATTCATTGGAACTTTTTAAGATATCACTAACTTGTCCTTTGCTAATCCCAAATCCTTTGGCTAAATCGATCTTTTTTTTATCGGCTCTTGTTGTTTTATTAAACAAATTCATATTCCTGTGCAACAACAACGTGAACATGATTTTTGGGTTCTTATCGAGACTTAGAATTATAAGAATTGTTTTTATGTTTCAAATAATATTGATTGTCTGAAACTTTGATTGACGATCCGTCTGTGGAGTAAACTTTAAAATAGGGATTAAATGACAGAAATTTTTTTAATTGACGACTTTGTATAAAGAATTGTACCATACTTTAGTACTATAAATAATTTTTTTTATTTTGCGTTATGGAACAAATCTCAATGAACATGTCTATACTTTGTTTTTTTTTAAGAATATCAACAAAAAAAGGGGGTTACTCTTGGGGATGTGAATTAAAAAGGTTTTACGTTTGTGTAACTTTTATAATTATTTTTTATCATGGTGCAAGATGTAATTCATGCAAGGCATATTCATTTGTCACAACAACAAGGATTAGACTCTATACTTGTAATCATTTATTTTAAAATTAATAAATTAAAAGAATACAATATAGATATTATTATAAAGATATTGAATTTTTTTTTATGTTTTATTCTTATGATGATAGAATGATTATAATGATATCAGGAAAAGGAGGAAACAAATGTGAGGTGGCAAGGATTGGATATTTTATACATAGCTATTAATATATATAATGTTATGTATGTGGGTATTGATTAATTAAATAAAAAGATAGTGGTAATAAATAGATCCTCTACATTTTTATATGTGATTTATTATTATTGTAGTAAATTTTCTTCTTCTAAATTGTCTTCTGGTAATTAAAATATGGTAACACTAAATCTTTTGATAAAAAAAATTTTTTTTATCCTTTTTTGAATATATATATATATATATACACACATTTAAGTAAAGTGATTACTAATATTCCATGCTATGTTAAACTGTAATTCGACTTCATAAATATATTTTCTTTACATGCAGCCCAGCATAGTGGAAGTTTATTGTTACACGAAATGTTGTACAGAACTCATTGCTTCTGAAACTTCGCCAGTGTATACAGTACGGATCATCTATACTCAAAAGTTAAAATTTTTGAAATATTATGTGATCCACACATTGGATTTTAAAAAACTTACCAC